CAGACGCCGGACCCTGCCCAGCCGGCCGCACGGCGTCCCCCGAGCCCCGGCGACGCCCCAAGTCCGGCGGCGCGCCCCTTCCAGCCGCGGCCCCGCATGGCCCCGCGCTGCGTCCGTGCCGAGGCGACCGGCGCCGCGGCGCCTTTTAAGCCGAAGTCCGCCCTTCCCCGCCGCCGGAATGCGCCCGCGCAGCGCTGGCCCGACCGGTTCTTCCGGGCGGGGCGGCTCCCGGCCGGCGGGTCGCGCGGCGGGTCGTCCGCGGCTGGGTACCTGCGCGGCGCGCCCGTGCGGGGGTGTCCCTGACTCACCGGCCTCGGGGCCCCGCCCGGCGCCCCTGCCTCCAGCCCGGGCGCACCTGGCGTCTCCGGGGTCCCGCTCCAGGTCCGGGGGCCACACCCGTACTGCCTGGCCTGCGACCGGGACACCCAGGCTCACTGCGGGGGTGGGGGGGGGTAGGGATGACACCGGCCGAGTTGGTGCCCGGGGGCGGCCCGGGCAGGGACAGCCAGAGCCCGCAGGAACAGGGCCCGGGCTCAGCCTGTGGGCGGGGGTGCGGGCCTGGGCTGCAGACGCCCATCCTGGTCTCTCCACTTCAAAGGGAACTTCGTGGGAGGGGGGAGGAGGGGAACAAAGAGAAAGTGAAAGTGGAGGGAGGGAGAGCGTGCCCAGCAGGTTTCTGGGTCTCCGACCCAGTGTCTTCCCAGAGGGCAGGGCAGCAACCAAAACCAACCCCCCCCCACCCCTCCATCCCCACCAGGGCCCACACTGGGAGCCCCATCTTGTCCCCCCCCCCCACAGAGGGGGCTCAGCCTTGATACCCCCTCCACACCAGGCAACATGTTGCCTTTGCCCTGCCTCCATGCGCTCTGGCCTGGCCACTTTGTCACCTTGGAGATGTTGGGGCCTGACCAGCCAAGCCTCCAGCTCCCCCCAAGTCTGTCACAGCGGAGCTGCCCACTGCAGGCAAATGAGGCTAGTGGGGGTGGGGGTTCAAGCTTTGGGAAAGAGGAAGTTTGGAGAGAGGTGGTCTCGAAGGTCCTCGGCCCACATCTTGAGCCACTGTGGGGCCACACGGCATAGGGCTGGGCTGCAGGGTGGTCATCACTTGGCTGAGTCCAGGGGACTACGCAGTGGGGAAACTGAGGCTCAGAGAGACGCAGTGACTTCCTGGAGGTCACACAGCGCTGAGTGGTGAAGCGAGGCCTCCCTGCCCTGGTCTGCAGGCCTGAGTGTGTGTGTGGTGGGTCGGATGCTGGGGCAGGGGTAGGGAGTGTGGTGCGGACGGAGGTGTGTGACCAAGAAGAGAAGTTTGGGAACTCCTGCCCCCCCACCACCACATGGGCCAGGAGACTTCACCCCACTTCTCCCCAGTTTTAAGCCCTGGTACAGCCCAATCCAGGGCAGACCCCTCCCTATACACTGTTACTGTCTCCAGCACCAGAGGGACTAGTGAGAGAGAAGAGGTGACAATACTTGTGACCAGAAGGGGAACTTCCAAGCATGAAATAGAAATCGGGATACCTGCAGCTGGGGTGGGTGTGGCCCTTAGAGCAGCCTGGTTTCATGATGGGAAACACTGGGTAAACATAGAGTGGCCTAAATAAGAGAGAGCGACAGAGACAGAGAGATCTCCCTGAGATAACCCTGGGATCTCAGCCATTTGAACGGAGCCGAGGCCTCACCCAAAGTGAAATAACTGGGTGTGAGCTCATGTGTGTGCGTGTGGGGGCCCTGGTTCCCCTGAGACCCCCGCAGGGCTCAGGCTGCCTCCCACATGTATCCAGCACTCGCCATGCCCAGTCTTGCTCCCACGTATCACACCAGCCCACGCCATGCCTCCTGGTGACACCACCTTCAAGTGAGGAGGCTGCCCGGGTCGGTGCCAGGCGGGCCCATGGGTAGCGTGGACTGGGCCTTCGTGTCTTCAGCTATAAAGTGGGAAGGAGGATGAACTAGGGGCCCCACAGGGGCGAACGTGCCCTAACATGGCATTGTCATGTGTGGCTATTCCACCTCACGCGGTGCCCTTGGAGCCCAGAGTGCCAGCCTTTATCCCCTGTGGCTACCCGGTGAGTCTCAGAGGAGCTGACCTCACCCCAAGAACACAAAATGGCCCTGAGGAACTGTCCAGATGTGTGCCTGCAACTTCCCAGAGCTTCAGAGACATGTGCCGGGTCCAGAAGCTGGTCACTGCAGGGCTCTATATCCCACAGCGTGTGGAGGGGCCCAGACTGGGAGGCCGGCTGCCCAGCCCTGGTGGGGAGCTCCCTGAATCTGCCTGGCTGGCGGAAGCGTCCCCTGCCGTCAGTGACCCACTTGGGGAAAAGCCAGCTCAGCAAGTGTTCTCTGTGGGACACGCAGGACACAGTGGGCGTCTCTACACTGGCAAGGTATCATCCCAGGATGCAGTGTTCTGGCTGGCAGGCTGGCATCTGCTTGGGGAGGGCGGAGCCATGTGGGGTAACGTGACAGCTTTCACAATCCCCAGCTCCACCGGGCCTCGGAGAATTGCTGAGTGTGGCATGGCCCTGAAAGATAGGCTGGAGCAGAGCCAAAGGGGGTGGGTGCTTCCAGTGAGCGCCAGAGAGGACATGGGGTGCTCAGCTGTGACACATGGGAGGTGGCCTCCACCAGGCATTTGTCTGATGGTCCCCTGCCACCCCTCTGGCCTTCTGAGGGTCCCCACCCTCCAGCAACAGCAGGGGCTCCTGGCTTTTTAGCCTCATGGCTCCCCCTTTCCCCACGTCTCCCACACCCCACACTCATGGGGTGTGGGGCAGACTCTTGGGACCCACCATGCTCGTGTGGTGTTACCTGGTTGTGCAAGGCCCTGGCACACCCATGTCTGGGCGAGAATCTGGAAGGCTGCCAGCCCGGGGCCTGGGAACCAGGCTGAGAAGCCTGGGGGTGCGGGTGGAGCCTCCCCAGACTGGCCCACCTGGGAGAGGCCCCAGCTACATGGTGGGGGCCTAGGGCAAGCTCCCATTCTTGCCCACTATCTATAGGGCACATGCCCTGAGCCCAGGAGCCAGATGAGCAGACAGACGAGAATCCTCATGTGGGCAGTGAGAGACGTACCAAGGTAGCAGGGGACCTGGAAGGAGGCAGCCCCCGCGGCTCCTCAGGCCCAGCGAGGGGGTCAGGGACGGTGGGGAGGAGGTGCGGAAGCAGCCCCCTGGTCACCCAGGCCCAGGTTCACATGGTGGGGCCGAGCCTGGGGCGTGCCCTCACCCACTGGACTGCTTACAGTTTGGGCAGAGAACTATCTGGGGGACCAAACACCTGATTTCAGTCTCAGCAGGTCCTCTGATAAGGCTGTGGCTGCCCACACCCACCAAGCCTGGGCCTGCCTCACCCATTGCACACCTGTCCCCACCTGCCCAGCTGCAAGGCTGCTGCACCCAGGGGGCTGCACAGGTCACTCCCTCTCCGGCTCCCAAGGCAGGTGGCCTGGACACACCTGGTTCACAGTGGCTAGTGGGTCAGGGGCCCTGGGCAGGTCAGGGGCTGGCATGAAGCTTGCGGGTCCCTGTGAAAACCAGACAGAGGGCGGGAGGGGATGGGGGGATAGGGAGACTAGAGGAGTAGGCGTGGGTGGGGGGCTGCCTGGAGGAGATAACTCCAAGCTTCAAGAATGAGGGTTCAGGACATAGGAGATGGGGCAAAGGTTGTCTGGAGGAGGGGACAGCCTGAGCCAGCAGAGAGGCAGGACAATGGTGGGGAGACAGTTTGCCTCCCCGGCAGGGTCTGGCTCACACACTCATGCTGCTTTAGGACGCGTTGGCTGAGTGGCCCGCACCCCTAGGGTGCCGAAGTCATGCCCTTTTGAGACAGAGCCTCAGCCAGACTCGGCCCCCCCACACACACACACACCCACAGTCCTGGGATGCAGGCAGACCCACTCGAGCAGGGCTTTGGGGACCTCGAGAGGCAGCGGTCCCAGAGAGATTTTATTCACTCTGCCCAAAAAGACAGGCTGTGTCCTGGAAGCAAAATGGGAAGCAGTTCCAGCGGCAGGGTCCATCCCAGTCAGAGCCACGAGTGGGGGGCCTGTGATCCCCAGCAGGTCACGATGGGGAGGAATCGCTTATGCTGCAGCCGGACAGCTTCAGGTTAGACAATAGGCAGCACTTCCTGAAAAGAGAGGTCTCCTGAGGTGCCGGTAGTATGTGGGGGCAGGGCAGGCAGACAAGCCCAGGGCCCCTGCCGTGGGGCCCAGCCTTTCACAGGGGAGCCTTGACAAGCTTCTGGAGGGCCAAGTGATGGAGTGGGGATGCGGGTGTCAGCCGGTGCCTGGCCCCCACAGCCAGGGAGTGGTGGGTCCTGGGGTAGGTGGGGCAGGGTAGGCAGGACATGCAGTAGAGGCATCTGAGGCCCCCTCCAGGCTTGGCGAACTTCAAGGGGTGGCCCAACAGGGCAGAATGCAGGTCTGAGGCCGACTCTTCCTTCAGGAAGCCCTCCCTGACTGCTCCCATCTCCCTCCAGCACCTTCAGCTCCCCATCCACTGTGCATGCCCCACACACAGCAGGGGCTTTGCCTCCTCCCAGGACTGGCCCTTGGACACACTCCCCAAGCCAGGGTTCAGCCACAGGGTGTGAGCTTCTCGGAGGAGCAGTCAGCCCTGCCTGGGGGGGACTTACTGAACTGGGGGCCAGGTCGTCAGCCCCAGTCTGGAGGTGCTGCAGGAGAGTCGCCACTTCCAGGTTCCCAGCAGCTTCTGCCTGTGGGAGGGAGCGCGAGGAAGGGGCTGCCTGGGGATGCTGGTCAGCCAGGCCCTACCAGCCCTTTCGCCACCCCCTCTGGTCCACCAGGACGCCCTCCCTGACTCCTGCCCATGTACACAGGACCCCATGCCTCCTCCTTTCTCCTCGTCCCCAGAGCTGCAGGCCCAGGGAGGGGTCAGGACTGCAAGGGGACGGCTCCCTGGGCTCCTGAGTGTGAAGTGTGTCCACCAGGAGAGCACAGTTGGGCGTTTGGGGGAGGGGCAGAAGAGGGGAGCTTATGGAGCTGTCAGGGAGGCCTTCCTGCAGGATGTCACCTTGGAGAGGGCAGCAGAGCACTGGTGGCACTCACCACGAGCAGGGCGCAGCGCCCATCATAGCCAGGCTGCCCGAGGTCAGCCCCCGCCTGCCACCACGCCTGCAGACCTTCACTGTCCGCCCTGGATGCCAGCCTGGGAGGGGAGCCAAGCAGGGGGCGCCATCAGGCCTGCTGGGCACCTGTCCAGTCCATCTGCCCACCTGCCTGCCTGGGGGTGCCCTTGGAGCCTTTACAAAGTCAGCCCCAAACAGCTGACCCAGCAACGCTGAGCCCTGGGGCAGAAGTGCAGGATCAGGCAGCCTGGAGTCTGGCTTCACCCAGTGGGGATGACTGTGACTCAGGTCAAGGGTGTGCACACATGCACACACATGCACGAGCATGCACACACATGCACGCACACACACGCGAGCATGCAGCACACACGCACACCCCCCACCTGCTGGGTGTTGCATGCCAGTTTCACATTTCACAACACAGCTCTCCCCGGGTGGGGCCCATAGAGGCAGCAGGAAAGTCTGAAGCAGGCCAGTGGTTCAGAGAGGACACGGTGGAGGGGGGCTGGACCCAGCAGGCTGCATGGGGGGTCCTGGCTGGGAGCAGGGCCTGGACCCGCCTGCCCTGGGAAAGAAGGTTGGAGGTGGGCACAGAGCACCTCCCGGGCACTTACCAGGCTCCTCCTCACCCTCTGACTCTCTCAGAAGAGCCCAGTCCCCACCCGGGGACCTGGCAGGGTGTGCTGGCCAGGGATGGGGGCTGGAAAGGGAAGGGCTACCCCTCCAAGGGGCCCTAGTGATCCCGCTCTAGTCAGGAAACAGCAGCAGCAGCAGCCCCCACAGTGGTGCTGGGTAATTTTGGGGGTGAATCACTCTGGATGGCACCACTAGCCATCCCTGGGCCTGACCCCAGGCCTGTTGCACTAGCTCCCACACACACTTGACCCTGGGAAGGGTGGGCCCCCCAAATCTAGCCAAGCAGCTCAGGTTGGACAAACCCACTTCTGTGGGACTTGGCTGTCACCTGCCCTTTCTGCTTCAGTTTCCCCCATCTGTCAGTGGAGTCAACAAGGCCCACCCAGGGGTGCAGCCCTGAACCAAGTCACCCCTGTGGTTGTGGGCAGGCCCCACAGGGTCAGCCCGAACCCCTTGGTCCTGGGCCCCACGTCCACCACATCTGAGAGTCCACCTCACCCTGTATTCTCAGAACAGTGGGCAGGGGGCGGGTCAGCTTGCAGGGTTTGACCCCTCAGGGACTGGAGGGGCTAAGGCTAGGGGCCCATGGGGTCTCTCCACGCCACCCCACATCTGGGCCACAGGCCTCCGGGGTTGGATGAGGCCTTGCTGGGACCAAACCATGGAGGTGGAAAGAAGTTGGAGGTGGGGTGACGGGCCAGGGCTGCTTCTTCCTGTGAATGGGCAGCTTGCCCTTCCTCACCCCCAGCAGTCATGCCGAGATCCCACCGTCGCCACCCACCCCACTGGGCCTGGGATGCAGTCTCCAGTCACTTCTAGCACCCCAACCTCGGCCACACCAGCCAGGCCTCTGCCCTCCTGTCTCCACTTCCCGCTTTGGTCCCTTCCCCTCACCCAGGCTGGCACAGGAGCTGCTGGCGGGTGCAAGGGAGGCAGTGACAGGGGATCAGTCAGCAGCACCATGGGGAGGGCCCAGAGCATGGAGGGAGGCCCTGAGCCCTGCGGCCCTGGCCTGTTGTTCACCCAGCCCCCGCCAGGGCCCATACCGCCCTGTGTGTGTCTCGCCAGGCTGCCTTGGTGGTCACTCCAGGCAGCTGTGAGGTCAGAGTCCTGTTGGCAACTGGCTGCCACGCCCGTGAAGCCCCCACCCCAGCCCACCGTTCCTCCCTGCAGGCCTGGCTTCCCTTCCTGGAGCCGGAGGCCCTCACCTGCACAGCTCTGTCCCAGCATCCTCCAGCTCCTGGGGGGACAGGCAGGCCCCAGCTGCCCGCAGCAGCCCAATGACACTCCGATGCCTGCCATGAGGAAAGGTGTGCTGACCGTCTGCCCCGGCAGCCTCTGCTCAGACACCCACAGGGCCTCAGGGCCTGTGCACGGGACCCGGAGCCCACCTGCCCCAGGCCAGAGTCCTGCCTTGCACTCCGCCATGACAGCCTGGGTCTGCAGGGTGGGGCCGAGCCCAGGGCGCCCCGGCCCCCGGCCCCATGCCGGGGCGTCAGTCAGCCCTAGCCGCACGGCTCCTCCACCCTCCCCACGTGGTCCTCTCCCAGCTATCCTGAGGGCTGCAGCACTCCTGAGGGCACACAGGGACAGCCCACCTGGAGGACAGTTTCTACACTGAGCTACCCAGCCCACCACACACACCTACCCTGGCCAGGGCTGGGCCTGAGGAAACTGAGTCAATTGGGCCCAGAATATGCCCTTGGGGGTGGGGTGGGATGAAACATGAGAGACAAATGTGAACAGTGGGGTCAGGCTGGCCCAGAGAAGGGTCTGGATGTCTGCTGGTGTCCAGAGGCCGTATCTCCTGGGCCAAGTTGGGGTGAGCCGGCCATGGGGGCAGGTGGGGTGGGGGCGGGCCTTGGCACACACCCCGCTACAGTAGGGGGACACCGACCCTTGCCACATAACCACTAACCAGCCCCTCACAGTGTCAGGGTGGACCATATATTGCATGGTCACTCTACTTTTAGGGAGGCTGGGACCCCCAGGCCTTGCTCCTCACCCCCACCCCCAAAGAGCCCTTCTTGTCGGTTGGCCCTTTCGTGCATAGCAGGGCCAGGTAGGGGAGTGAGGCCGGGAGACCGGTTTGGGGGGTGTTGTGACAGCGGGGCGGGGATGAGGGGGTGGGACCAGGATGGGGTGAGCTCATCATGCCAGCCACCCACGCCCCAGGATGCACAGGCTGCAATCTCCAGTCACATCACCACAGTGCCGGGGTACACCCTGCACAGCCCCTCACCTTCTGGCCAGAGTCAGGCCTGTTCTGGCGACCCCATGCTCACATGAGCCTGGGAAGGAAGGCGTGACTAAGGGTCACGCACCCCACCCCAGGGTTCATAGCAGACAAGGGTGCCCAGGGCTTGACCCTGACAGTCTGATGACCTGGGTACAGACAACCCTCAACTCAGAATAATCCAGGGACCTGCAGGCCACGTTCTCCCCCAACTCTCCTCCACCAGGGAGAAAGGCTGGGGGGAGGCCAGGGACTGGGGGCTACCACAGACACTCTGCCAAGGCTGGCTTTGCCTTTGGGAGCAGGAAGACTACCCAAGGGTGAAGAGCAAAGCTGCGCTCCCCCACACTCACACACACACACGTGTGTGCGTGTTCACATGTGCACACGCACACACACAGGCTCCGGTCTGACGCTGCTCTGGGCCTCCGGACAGGCGATGGGGCAGAGGGCCCTGCCCCCACCCGGAAGGTCTTCCCAGCAAGGTCCATGCTGGATAGAAACGAGAATGTGGGCCCTAGTCCCCAAAAGCCCTGTCCACCTGTGTGTCGCCACCCCCTGTGCGTTTGGACTGTCGTCAGAGCAGGTAAGGCCAACCCTTGAAGACATGCCAGGGCCTGAGGAGGGCAAGGAGACGCCCCAGCAGAGGGCACATGGACGGCCTCAGGCCCCCACGTGCGCTCTCCACACCCAGGCCCAGTGCCTGCCCCGCGGACCACAGGGGGAGGAGTCAGAGTGGGGCAGGGGTGGGACCAGAAGCCCCACGTCCCCCGATCCCTGGATGGCGACCACCCGCTTGTCATGACTTCGTTCAACATTGATCCTCACACACCCTCTACAAGGTGTAGCCCCCCACACCTGTGCCTGTCACAGAGGACCCAGCAGAGGCCTGAGTGACCCCAGTTCTGGGCCTGGCTGCAGGGCAGGGCACCCCCACTGCCTCTCGGCACAGCTACTGTGTCCTCTGTCCCCTTCTCGGAAGAGACCTCAGCTCTGCAAGGCCCCCCACACCCTCAGCCAGGCCCCTGCCTTTAAGAAGCAGAGGGCGAAGCCAGCTTGGGGGTCCCCTCCCACTACTGTGCAGGCTAAGCCTGCCCCTGAGGGCATCTACCTGTGCCCATCCCAGCCCCAGGTCTGGCACTGGGCAGCCTGCTTTGTGCCTGGCCCATCCGATGCTAGGTGGAGGCTTCTCCCCTTGCCCCGCCCCTCAGCCCCCAGGTGTGCGCAGACGACTTCCAAAACACACGGGAGATCCTTGTGATGATTTGTCGGTAAGTGTTTTCCTTTTCTAGAAACTGTTCCAGGGTCTTTCTTGGCCTGCCTGGCTCAGCTTGGAAGTTACCTTCTCCAGGAAGTCCTCCCTGACCACCCTGCCCAGAGTCTGTCCTCCCTTTCTGGGCCCAGGCATGGTGACTGCTAGTACATGGGGCCCAGGCTGGGGATGAGTGAGGCTCTCGGGAGCAGGCGTCCTTAGCCATCCAGCTCTGCCTGGGGAGCTGCCTGCCCACAGGTACACCTCCACACAGCTCTGTGCAGGCCCCCCATGCGTCGCCCCTGCCCACACGTCCCTGCAGTATCTCCAGGTACCTGCCCCTTATGGCCAGCAGCAGCGGGCTGAGGCCGTCTTTGTCTCGGGCGTTCGCATCCACCCCTCTCTGCAGCAGCATGGTGACCACCCCGGCGTGGCCCCCTCGGGCGGCCGCATGCAGTGGAGTTTGACCGTTAAAATCCTCCAGGCTCAGGTCACTGCCCTGAGGTGACACAAGGACATGTCCCCCACTGAGGAAGGGCTGGGCAGGGTCAGGTAGGCCACGGGGAGGGGATGGGAAGGGTCAGGGTGCACCCCGAGGGTGGGGCCCGGCACAGCCACTATGCCCCCCTTAGCTGCAATGAGGCTGCACAAGCTGGCTGCCCAGCCTGGTGGACCCAGGCACAGGGAAGTTATTGGGCCCTCCCTGGGCCTGGTGTGATGGGCTGGGGGTGGGGGGTGGGGGCTCACCAGCTCTGCAAGCGCCCGCAGGGCCTCCAGGTCACCAGCACGGGCTGCGGCACAGGCCAGACTGGGCGTCAGGGCGTCTCGAACAGCATCAGCCTGCTGGATGGGGGGTGGCGGCACCCTGGGAATATGCTTTTCCCTGGGGTCCTCAGCACCCCCCCAGCCTGGGAGCAAAGTCCAGGACATGAGGCCACCATCTGGCGCCGTCCTCACCAGTTGTGTGTCCAGGGCCTGCTACCCACCCTCTGTGACCCATTTCTTGGTCTGTTCCCACCGCCTTCAAGGACACAGAGACACAATCTCCACAAGGCATGGGTTTGGCTGAGCATGGGAAGGGGTACCAGGCCCCCTCCCCTAGAAAGACCCTCCCCTGCAGGTGTGCCATGTCCCCCCCAGCACCAGGCATGTGGTGGACTGTCCAGGAGCTCCCCAAGATGCCAGAGGCCCGGGGGGTCCCAGCAGGGGACCCTGCAGGTGGCCCCACACCTGGCCCAGCCCACTCTTAGCCCCGCGCCCACGGCTGGGCCTGATCACAGGCTGTGGTAGCCTGTATCGAAGCCATTAAGACACGACGCAGCCACCCTAATAACAGGCCACACGCACCCCAGCCTCTCATCTGACCAGTGCCAGCCCCGAGCAAGCAGCAATTAACACCACCAGAGCTCTCCACAACAGGCTTGTCCCCACCCCTGCTCTGAAGAAGGGAAACTGAGGTACATGGTGTGACCCTGGGCAACACTGGACTCAGTACTCTGAGCCCAATCACCCGCTGGGCTCAAATGCCAGGCCTGGACCCTTCCCCAGAGGCCAGGTGTGCGTGTGAATCACCCCTGTGGGCCTGGTAGAGCCTGGAGCCCTGACCCCAGACCCTGAAACATGTCCTCGGCTACCCTGCTCCTTCCTGGGTCCGGGCACCCTGGCAGAGACATGGAAAGGGAGCTCAAGGCTGGCCACTGCTCCAGGCTGGGAACACTCCTGCTGTGGACCCGGGGCCAGAACCAGGTAGACCTGGGGACAGGACCAGGTGGACCCGGGGCCAGAACCAGGTGGACCTGGGCCAGAGCCAGGCTGCACCTGGTGGTATTTTGCTCGTGCATTGGAATGAGATGGCTGAGGCTGGCACCTGGCACATCCAGCAGGAACCCATCCACAGGCCCCATGCTGTCCACTGGGCAGTACCTGACTCAGGCTGAGGAGTTGGGCAACCCCAAGGCCCAGCGTGCTGCTCTGAAGGGAAGGCTGGCACTCGTCTGCCACGGGCAGCGTCATCTCTCCCCGAAGGTCCCTGGCCAGCAGCTGGAGAAGCACAGGAGAGCAGGACCCCAACCCAGCAGCTCAGACCAGCCACTTGGCCTGGTGCCTGGGTGACATGCGACCAGGGCTGCCCCAGGCCTGGGACCCCTCCATTCAGGCTTTACCCCATCAGGCCTGAGCCTGGTACAGCCCAGGTCCCCAAAGGCCAGCCTTACCCTCCATCCCAACTAGCTCAGGGTCCCCAAGCCCCCAGTGGCCTCTGCCCAGCCAGAGGGCCTGGGGCTGGCTGTGTCTGAGGCCTGAGAAGACTGGGGAAAGAGGAGCTTTCTGGAAGCAGCTTGGGGACCCTAAACATGTACCACACCTGAGACTCCCCGACAAGGTATAAGTACAAACTGGGCCTGGGCTTGGGGTCAGCAAAGGTGGGGGGCAACCCAGGCCCCAGAGCTGGCTCTTTGCATCATGGAGACCCCCATATCCCTGCCCTCTTCCCAAACCCAGGCACACACCCCTGGACAGGGCCCCACTGTCTGCCCGAGTCACACCCCCAGCACGCCCTCAGGATCCCACTGACAAGTGTTCCAAGACCGCGCCCACAGCCCGAAGGGCACGCACCTCCTTCCTGCTGTGCAGGCTCAGCCCGGGCTGGCCCAGCACGTAGGACAGCTTGGCCAGGGCGGCCTCGGATGTCATGTCAAATCCTGACACAATGCCAGCTCCCACCGTGGCCTATGGGGAAGGGGCACAGGTGGGAAGTGGGGTGCGGGGTTCCCTCCCTCCCCGGGCCTCCACCCCCCGCGCCTACCATGCCAGCGGCGTAGTCTGAGGTCACGGTACCCTGCAGGCAATGCGTGCAGTTAAGGATGACGAGGCCTCGCTCCGTCGCTGCTCGCAGTTCCCACAGCAGGTCGGGCTTGGTGGGCCCGTTCCCCGAGCCGAAGGTCTCCATGACCACACCCTTCAGTGGGGGCTGCAGGAAGGCCCGAACCTGAGGGGCGGGAGAGCATGGTGAGGCCTTCAGCGATAGGGACCAACAGGCTCGCCAGAAGCGGGGCCACCTGCCGCGCTCCGCGTGGGCCACGTGGAGAGCCGTGACAGCCTGCTCCCCACCCAGTCCTCCCAGTGGGAATCCGTGTCCCACTTCAGTGTTTAAGACCGTGTCTGGTGTGGAGAGAACCAGAACACGGTGGAGACCCAACAGAGGAGATCGTGGGGAGCAGCTGGGGGTGAGCAGAAAAGCCCACCCCAGCCAGGCTGCCCCACCATCCTTTCCTGGCCCGGCCCCTCCGTCTGCCCCGTCTCGCACACGGCGGGATGCTTCCTAGAAGCTGGTATTTGGGGAAAGGGTCTTGCAGCTAAACATAAATGCAGGGTTCCTGTTACTGACATAAGCCGGGGTGCTGGCCCACCCACATCCTGCGAGCCTGGAAGTCTCCACTCAGAAGACAGGACGGGCCTTGGGTTCCCCACTCACAGAGACCTGTCCCCAGCTCAGCCTTGCTCAGCTTTGGGGGGTGTAGGGTGTCGGAGGAGGGCAGGAGGGCTATGGAGCCGGCTCTGTGGCCCTTCGTTTTCCAGGCTACAGCGTGTTCTAGAAATCTCCTGAGTAACCAGGCCATGACTTCACAGGCTGGCATGGTTTTCCCAGAAGGACTCTGCGCAGCTCAGCCCCACTTCACATGGCAGCCTCGAGCGCTGACTTCCAGCTATGAGAAACCTAAGACCCGCCTCATAGGCCAGGGCATGCCCAGTGGTGAGAGCCTTGTGCAGCCACCCTGCCACCAGTGTCAATCCCTGGGAGGACCGTCTGCAGGGGTCCCTGGGTCCTGGCCCTGCCCTGGCTCCCAGAAACAGCGTCCGACTGCTGGTCCAGAACCCGGTAGGCTGTGCCTATTGCTTGAGCAATGACCCCTATCTTTCCCCACCCAGCCTTCCACAGTGCGTGGCCACACTGCATTCATTCTCCAAATACTGTGGATCGCTCGTCCTGGGCCAGGCCCCAAGATAGGCACAAGGGCACATGGCGAACAGGCTGCCCCGTCTGTCCCCAGCACCCTGTGAGAGGGCTGGGGACTGGTTCACAGGCTGTGGCCCGGATGTTGGCAGCAGCTCGGGGCCGAGTCCTGGAAGCTGGCACTCCTGTTGCTCTGACCGGGCCACCCAGTGTGTGTGGATGCACCGTGAAGCCACCTGTGTCTAGACAGAAGAGGGGGCCACAGTTCTTGGACAGTCACAGCCCGCCTGCAGCCACAGTGCCTTCCGGTCTGGTGCCAACATCCCTGCACTCATGCCAGCAGTGCCCAAAGGGGCTTTTAGCTCAGAGACCCTCTAAGCCATAGACCTCATGGTGTCTGAGCCTAGCTCACAAAGCAGGACAGAGGCAGGCTCTGCAGCTGCCCACTGACAGTGGGTGGCTGAGGGTCAGTGGCGGGGAGCAGCCACTCCCGGGTGCACGCCCCATCGTCCCCAGAAGAATCGCCGGACGAGGGGCCATGAGTCCAGGGGCATCCAAAGGAAAAGCTCATATCACAGAAATGGTGAGTTTGGGCCCCAAAGCCTTCGCAGAGGAAGCCGGGGTAGGGCGTGCAGGTCCCCATGACACGTGCAGATTCCGGGGACAAGGGGTTCTGGGTAGCTGTTACTCTCCGCGTGCCTGGGGTGACACGATAGGAAGCTGGTCCAGCCCCTGGGGAGCCGTGGGGTGTGCTGGGTGCACTGGGCCAGGGCGGGTCCCTACCAGGGTGGCGGGGATCCCAGGGTAGAGACGCAGCAGGCCCACGTCTCGCTCCATGGTGCTGTGCACCACCAGCCGCTCCTTCCCGCGGACCTTCCGCACCAGCTCCCGGTTGACTGTGAGGACAGAGGGACTGTGTGGGACTCGCAAGCCACCTGCCAGCCCAGCTCCTCCAGCCCCTCTGTGCCGCCCGGCCTCTCTCTGGCATTTTCAGAGCCCCGTGCTTTCACCCGGCACAGCCTGCCAGCCCTGGGCTCACTCACGCTCTGGCCTGTGCCGGGCTCCACTGGGGGGCACCAGGCTTAGGGGACAAGGAGGACCCCTCAGGGACAGAGGCCTGCCTGAGCCCAGCAGGCTGCATAGTGGTGGTGGAGGAAAGGCATTCCAGCCAAGGGAACTGCACATGCAGAGGCTAGGAAGCACAACAGATGTGGCACAGCTGTAGGTTAGAAAGTGGTTTGCTGTCCTAGACCACAAGAAAATGCGGGGTGGCATTCTCAGAACAGTCAGCCTCACCTGCCTCTTACTGGGCACCTACCGTGCCCACAACCCAGTGAGCCAATGAATGAATGAATGAATGAATGAATGAATGAATCTATTGGACCCCTCACCTTTGGGGAAAGAAAGCCTCCGTCTGATTCACCCCAAGGTCTCAGAGGCCTAACGTGTACCCACCCCGCTCCCCACGACAGGGAGGGTAATGGTGGGTCCCAGCCCTGTGGAGAATGGAGAGGAGCGTATACTCGAGGTCAGCGCCCTTGAGCCCACCATGCAGAGGAGTTCCCCAGAGGGTCCGTCTCTCCCTGGTCTGAAGGCCGCTGCTCTGCCAGGACTGAGCCCTGGGTGGTGCACGGCAGGGCTAGGCAGCAGGTCCGGCCTGTGAACCTCGGGAGCCCAGTGCCCAGCACCGGGCCCATCTCTCAGCCCCTCGGCAGCACAGGCAGCCTGGATGGGGCAGAGGTGGGCGTCAATGACCCTGGCACCGAGTGCTATTAGAGCCTGACCAAGGTGCAGGCACCATGAAGACCCCAGTCCATCCCAGGGAAACCGGGGCCCACACAGGGGAACCATTTTGCAAGGCCGCCCAGAGAGTCAAGCGCAGAGCCAGGAGGGGCGGGGGGCTCCAAGGGAATTGTAAGCCTGTGCCCCTTGCTGTATCTGCCAGAGCACTTCGCACGGGACAACAAACTGAAGAACGTTCCAGATACATGCGGCCCTCTCACAGGGACTTAGAAGGAGCAGGTAAGAGACATGGGGACTCTGGGGGATGGGCAGTGTGGAGGGGCCAGCAAGGTGGAGACCCACATACCTCCCCCGCCCACCAGCGTGGCATCAGTGAGGTGTCCTTTACTGTGCCCCAGCTGGGCAAACAGGTAAGACGGTGACAGGTGTGGGTGTTGCCACCACCCAGGAGTTAGGGCTGCAGAGGGGTGTGCAGAGACAAAGAGAGCCTGTGCCCCCAGCGGCTGGCCCATGCTCCTGAGAGCCCACGGAATCCAAGTTTCCTGCCTGGGCCAGTGGGGGCCAGGGCCTGGCTGTCCCATGACCACAGGGGCGGGGCGGGCGGGGTAGGGGTGGGGGAGCATGTGGCCAGGGCTTCTGCAGGGAAGACATGGTGGCCTGGAGGCCTGGCATGGACCACGCTGCCTCAGCCACTTGGTGGCGCAGGGCCAGCAGGGCCAGGCCCCCAGCACCACCACACCCTCTGCCCACAGCTCAGCGCTGCCTTCTGAGCCCTAAGCCCCTCATCTGCAACGGCATCTCAGAGGGAAGCCCCTGAGAGGGGACCGGAGGGCCACCGTCCTGGCTCCAGCTGGTGGTGTCATCTACCAGCTGCCTTGTTTATACCCTGCTGGCCCAGGCATCCCTCAGCGCCTCCCCGGGGCCTGCCAGCCACACCCTGGGCAGAGCTTGGTGTTTCCCAACACCAGGTGCCAGAACCAGCTGTGCGCAGGTTCTCACACACCCACACGGCCCCCTCCCCCGGCCAGCAGGAAGCAATGGGGAAATCAGGGGCCTGGGGGCCCAGGGAGGCCGCTTTCCTTGGGGCAGCCTCAGCCCGCACCCACGAAGCTGCCTGGCCTGGCCTGTGCGGGCGTCCCTGTGCCCCGTGGCCTGCCTGGGCTTGGCATGGCACAGGCAGAGGCCCTGGGAACCAGTGAACTCCTCGGCGCCTGCCAGCCAGCTGGTCCCAGCCCCACTCCTGAGCCCCAGATAAGGCGTGACTCAGTCCCCATGGGGGAGGGGTTGCCCGCTCCTTCCTTCCTCACCCCTGGCTTGGGGTGGCCCACGCAGGACAGGGGGGTTGGGTGCCACCACCCAGCACAGGCAGGGGCGCCAGGCCCTCCACCAGCTCCAGCACACGTGCCACCTCCTTCGGGAAGCCTTCTGGGCTGCTCTGACCCTCAGTGAGCAGGTGGACCCGCCCAGCCCCCAGATCCCTGGGCTGACACATGTGAGGTGCACCGAGGTGTCCTGATCCTTAAGCCCCCAGGAAGGCACCCTGGAGAGCAGGGGGGGGGGGCTGGCGAAGAGCGCACAGGGTCAGGCCACTGGAATGGGAGCCAGGGCTCAGAGCCAAGCCGCTCCCCCCGTGTGGCCCTCCCCCTCTCCACGTGGGTTTCCCACCCTGGGGTCTCCTCCTGCCTTGGCTGCCTCAGCCCCACAACCTCCTGGCAGAGGGACCCGGGCAGCCAGCAGGGGCCACCCATCACCTGCCCGTCACCACGCCTGACCCCACAGCTATGTGTCCTGACCTGAGATAGGAAGGTTCTGGGGGTTTTCAGGGTCACTGACCAGCCCACCCTGCGGGGAGAGAGCCCAGACCCTTCACCTGCTCCACAAGGAGACCCCCAAGGGCTTTTCCCGCCGGCCTCCTGGGGCTGCCCCTCTAGACCCCACAGGCCCCACCTTGGCCAGACAGAAGCCCGGATGGGCAAGAAGCCACCCCCACCGCCCCGAGGGCCGGACGCCATGGTCAGGCAGTCCAACTGGAAGAGCCGCCTGGGTCCTGCGGGTCCCACAGAAGCAGCTCCTCCCCAAGCCAGGCTCCAAGGTCCCCACAGGGAGACCGGCTCTGCCAGGCCTGGGGCTCCCCCATCCTGGAAGGGCCCCTGGGATGGGGTCCCACAGCTAAGGGGCTGCAGGGCCTCCACATCAGTCAGGAACAGACAGGCCAGGCTTGGGGCTGCACGTTACACATCTGGGCGGGGAGGACGCCAAGCCACTGGAGAGAATCCACGTGTCACAGGAGCATGGGGGTACGCCTGCTTGTCCCCGGGAGGGGCTTCCAGGGAGCTGGGTGGGAGTTGGAGGGGCCAGCCATGCCCACCTCAGACCCAGAGTGGGGTGGAGGCTGGGGAGGGGCCAGGAGACACCACAGGAGGGCCTGGGAGCGAGTCCCCTGGGCCATTAGGGTGGCCCTGGGTCAGAGGACACCTGAGCTCAGGGCCCAGCAGCCTCGCTGACAAGGTCTGAGGCATCCCACACCCAGGGCAAGAGGGGGGTGCTCCCCGGGGACCTCAGGACAGATGTCCTGCTGGAGACACAAGGGGGCTGGGCAACCCGCTAGGCCCAAGGGACAGAGAGACTCCCCTGGAAGTCCCAGGGACAAGGCTCCACTGCAAGAACCACATTCCTGGGGGACCGAGCAGTATGGCAGAGCCACCGACAGTCACTGAGAGGAACTCCTGGGCTCGGGGCCACATGGCCAGAGGGGACACACAAGGGCCAGATTTCCCCAAACGGGGCTCCTCCTCTGGGGCCACCTGCTGGGGCCTCCCACCACTGCGGCCATGCGTCCACCACCCCCCAGCCCAGGGCAGAACCGAGCACTGTGCTGTTCAGTCGACACGAGCGCCCCGGCTCCGCACCGTCTCCCCACACGGCTCCTTGCACAGACCCAGCAGGCACCCTCACTGCTGGCCGGGCTCACTAGGCTTACTTATGACGTCAGCGCCCACAACTGCCAGAGGCGGCAGGTTGGGCGAGCAGAAGGCTGCGAACCTGCGCGTGTCCACCTTGGTCACCCGGGTGCCCCGAAACAGCTGGTTCTGGAAGAACAGGCAAACCTGCATGGGGGGCGGGGAGGGACGGCAGTAGTGAGGCCAAGCTGCGTGCCCATGGCGGCCCCTCCCTGGTGACAATCTGTTACACGGAAACCTACACGCACATAATGAAAACACAGATAATATGGACGGAGACACATCACGTACTAACAGCAACACCCCTGGGGAGTGCCATGTGGGTGACTTTCTCTGTTTGCCGACTGTTTCTACGTGATTGTGTAGGTCACTTGAAAGATGAAGGATGGATCTTTAAAACCCCACCCGACCCCTCACCTGCGTGTCCCACCTGAGGGCCTCGGGGGCACACAGGCACCCACCATTGGACCCTGGACCCACACGGCTGATCCCCTGCCCACCACACCGCAGGGGAGGGTGGTACCTCAGGGATCACGTACTGGCCGGCCATGAGCAGGGCCCCCAGCAGGTTCTCGCGGCCGTCATTCCACAGGGCGTGGATGGGAACCTAGGGAGAGGCCGTGGAGAGTGGCTGAGGTCCGGCCCAGGAGACCCCAGTGGGGGTCTGTAAGGAAGAAGGGCCGGGGCAGACTCGGGCTGGTGGGAGGGGGTGTCTGCAGGGACAGCACTGGGGCAGCTGCTCCCACTGACGATACCAGCCTGCCACCCCGGTCCCCTCTGCTCCCCCTGCAGACCTCAGGGCCCCCTGCTGGTGGCCACAGGCCACCCAGTCCCCGCACTGGGAGGAATGACGACGGGCCTTCTGCCCAGGGGACCACACCACTGCCCAGCCCAGCTCCCTGGTCCCCAAGGGCACGTCGGCCTCGTCCCCTCACTGCCCCAGTCAAGTCATGGGCCAGGCAGAGGGCGGCCAAGGGCTGATGGGGAGGAGGGCTGCAACGGAAAAAAAGCCCACACGGGGCGCCCGAGCCTCCGTCACACCTACTCCTATGCCTCCCGGTGCTCGGGGGTGACTGACTAGGGGCCAGCCCCGCTCTCCTGCTCAGGAAACTGAAGAGGGGCTGGGCTGCTGTGGGGAGCAGGGGCTGGCTGGGCCACTGTCAGCAGGGGACAGGCTGACACGGGACCTCCAGAGGGTCAGAGCCCTGGCCTGTGGGCCACAGTCCTGGGTCCCCACCTAGCTCTGCTCCTCCTGAGGTATGTGGCTGTGGGTGAGCAGCCTGGGCCTCTGAGCCTCACTTTCCCCTTGGGCAGAACAGGGAGAAGGGTGCTTTATAAGGGCCGGTGGGCTGGAACATGCGTGTGTTCCTTCCTGGGCCCCAGCGCTCACAAACCCACCCTCTATCTCCCAAGGGGGCTCGGGTCTGGGAAGAGCCAGGGTCAGCCTGGGCCCGTCCCGCTCACGCGAGCTTTGAGGGGGAGGTGTGCAGCAGCTAACGGTTGTGTACGGTGAGGCCCTGGGCTTCCCCGAGTGGGCTGACCCACTGTGAGACCGCTGGAGGGCCAGGGACACAGCAGGGCAGGCAGCCGGGTCAGCACCTGGTGGGCCTGGCAAGAGGACTTCCCAGGAACCTTTCAAAGGGACACAGCTCTGGCCACCCATGAGGCCTCAGCCTCAGTCCCTGGGGAAGGACCCCGAGGCACTCATGTAGGGATGGCCCCAACGGCCGCTGCCCCTGCAATGCCACCACAGGCCATGGGGACCCCAATCAGCTTTTGACGCAGGCCCTGATGAGGCCTCCCCACAAATTCAGCAGTTTTCTAGGACATTCCACCTACTTGGGCTTTGGGGATTGTGCTGGGTCCAGATGAGAGAGGACAGGGTGGCATGTGCCCAAGTATGGCATTGGTGGGAACCACAGTGAAAAGAATGACGTGAGGGACCAAGGCAAGGCAGCTCTACAAGGCCGACAGCAGGCCGTGGGCCCTCCCCCACCAGGATGGCAGGGCTGGCGCAGGGCAGGGCACAGGGTGCTGACCAGCACCGGCCGGATGGCACAGGCAGAGGAGGACCCGCCAGGGGACCGCAGGACTGAGCAAGAAGCCAGGGTCCCACCTGGGCCCCAGCAGTGCTGACTGGCCCTATGGCCTCAGGAAGGCCAGCTTGGTGTGTTACCTGAGCACCAGTAAGGATGACAGTTTTCTGCAGGTTTTCCAGCACAAAGGAGAGCACAGAGGCGGCGAAGGCCATGGTGTCGGTTCCGTGAATGACCACGAAGCCGTGGTACTGCTCATAGTGCCTCTGTGGGAGGAGGGCACACTCAGCAGGCTGGCCCCTTGCCGCTGCTGGTCCCCCCTGGAAACAGGCGCCCGGTCCCCTCCACTGCCAGGAAAGAATCCCAGATGCAGCAGGGGGGACTGGGGGTAGGGTGCCAGTAGGGTCCTGGTCACTGGAGACCCTCTCTGGAAACCAGCCGCTGCCTGGAGTCCCAGCTCTCCCCATCCCACGGCAGCCTTCTGCCCTGGCCCCTCCTGTAAGCCCATGGTGCAATAGGTCTCCCCCTGACACCCCTCAGTGCATGAGAGGACGTGGGTCTGAGGACAGGCAGGTCCCCCCTCTAGACTTCCAGGTAGCGTCTTCCCTAGGTGATGCCCAGTCAGGGCTCCCGAGAACACTGGTCAGCGGGGGCCAGCCAGAACTCAGCCCAGTGCTCCAAAGAGCCCCTTGCTGAGTGACCGCTGCCCCTAGAGCCGCAGGAGCCATGGGGCTGAGCGAGTTACCAGCCTCGAGGTCCAGTGGGAGGGCTGGGCATGGACCCAGCAAGGGCAGGGAGCTGGGAGCCAGCAGGCGACCTGGGAGGCGGCCTGGAACTGGGCCTGGCAGGCAGGCAGCAGGCAACGGGCGAACTGCAGAAGGCTCCTTCCAGGCTCGGCAAAGGCCAGAAGCACCCCCCAGGCACAGTGGCCATCTCTGCGGGAGTGAGGGTGGCTAGGCAAGGATGTCCTCCAGCCACCACGTTCCGTGGGGCAGCCAAGACTGGGCCTCAAAGTGGTTGTGAGGGGCACGGTCATGGGAGCCAAGGGGCCTAGCCCATCCTGAGGGGGCCATCCTGAGGGGACCATTCCTCGTGGCCCATCGAAGACCAAGCCAAGCTGGCCAGCGAACTGCGGAGCTGAGCCATGGAGCGGGCTGGGGCGCCCTCTGCTGGCCACATGGAGCTCGGCCGCAGTTAGGGCCACCTGGCTCCCAAGGCCATCTGTGAGTCTGGAGGCTGGACCCTGCAGTTACGGACACTCAGGGAAGCGCTCAGGCCAGCACAGAGGCTGCTGCGGGCCACATACCAGAGATACTGCCCCAGACCATGCCCCACACATGTCCATTGGTAGCTGATGGCCCAATTCAGGGACACAAGGGCCAGGCCAGGGTCACACACTGTCCCAGATGCTCACAGTGCGTGGGGATGAGGCCCAGGAAGCTGTTCTCCCCCAGGCAGAAGGAGACAAGCATGTGACTGGGGCCCATCCCCTGGCTGCCAGGGAAGGGAAGCCCGTGTGACGTGCCTGGAGGATGGCAGGGCCCCCAACCCGGGAGCCAGGTTCATGCAGGATCGGGTCCTGGCGACAGTGGGGCGGGGGGAGCAGAAGAAAGCTGGTGTAGAGCACTCTGGCCGCAGGTAAGGCGTGCATACTCGATGCCGTGAGCCACGACACCCTCTCGCAGCGTTCTGCACCCTTTCGTGAGTCCTAACTCCACTAAGACCTCGGCCCCAGGGTATGGGGTGGACAGAGGGGAACGGGCCAGGTGTGGAGCTTGTCCATCTGTGGGGAACTAGTACATATCCCGGCCCAGGATACTAACTGGGATGAACAACTGTATGCACAAACCAGGATGGCTGTCTGGGCTATTTCCTCACCCAGGAAAGGAGGTGGCCCTCACTGCCCACCCTCTGCTTACACAGGGAAAGGGTCTCAGAGGGCCTAGCACTTTCCAGAAGCTGCCGTTCCCCTTAGACCAGGCAGGCTGACGTCAGAGTGCTTCTGCAGCGCTGGCCCTGCCCCACCCACCTTCGTAGCCCCACTCAGTATACACAGCCCTGCCCACAGTCCAAGCCCCGCCCACACCCACAGCTCCGCCCATACACTAAGCCCCGCCCACACCCCCAGCTACCTCAATGGTCTGGGCGATCTGAACCCACTCGGTGATGGTCATGTCACTGGAGTCGAAGAGGGGCTGGCACTCCAGCACTGTGTAGATGACCCTCTGGTCAGGACGGGCAGGCCTGCGGGGGACAGACGGGCAGCTCCCACTTCTCTGTCCCCTGCTCCTTTGGCCTGCTCTGCTCCCTCCGTCCAGCGGGGCCCCTGCACCCAGGGCCCAGTGTCTCTGGGTTCTGCACACCCACAAGCTCTCCGTATCCTGAGTACAGGGCCTGGCCTCCCTCTCACCAGGAGACCCCAGGAACAGGGACCATGGTCGCGGGGAGGGGCCCAGGACGGCCGCGACGTGAAGGTCTCCTCCTGTGAGCAGCGCCCCTTTCCCACCAGCAGCTCTGGGAGAGGTGGGCTCAGCCCTGGGTCAGCCAGGAGATGGCCCTGGGAGGAGGATGGCTGGCGGGAGGGAGGTCAGTGACCAGGAGGGCAAGTCCTCGCTCAGCCTGCCAGCCGTGAAGGGCACCGGGCAGCCCGGGCCGGGAGCAAACAAACAAGGGACCTTCACGCTGTGGAGAGAAGGGGCCATCTGGGGCCAGCCTCCCGCCCTCCGCAAGCTGCTGGGGGTCCGAGACTCACTTAAAAGGGGGCTGTGGGTCAGTTCTAAAGCCGTGAAAGTCCAAGAGGACATTAATGGTGGCCTCCTGCACAGGGCTCATCATGGGAGCCCTGAGGAAGCACAGCCTGCCCCACGGAGCCGGCCTGCGCCATCTGGTCTCAGGATGGCCCTCCCCCATGACAGCTGGGCCATCCCTGCCCAGGACCCCAGAGGAGCCCACACTCACGGCAGCACCAGGGTGTCCTCAGGGAGGCTACAGGCCCGGGCGTGCTCCTTGTCGTGGAACATGGGCAGAGTCCTCAGGACGTTGGCCAGGCCCCTCCCGGGGACGAGCACTGCAGGCAAAGACCAGGGGCATGGGGAGTCAGGGGCTGGCAGCCACCGCCAGCTCCCACAGATGCCGGCCCCTCTCCCCTCACTGGGGCACTTTCTGCCCATGCTGGGGGCAGGCTCTGGCAGGGGCCCCTTGTTCCGTCTGCAAAGCCAGCAATGGCAGGTGGCATCCTCATGCTTCGAAACTCTGTGAGCTTGCTCATGTCTCCCCTGTAAGGAGCCCGAAAGCCCACTCGCCTCACCCCTGAGGGACCCCCCACCCTCAGCCCTTCCTTTGGCGGCCATGAGAGTCCGTCTTTCCAGGCTAGGGGCCGGATTCTCTCCCCTGCGTGCCCCTTTCCTCAGGGTCAGCATCTCAGCTCAGGCTGCACGCAACCCCTCAGCCCACAGCCCCAGACCCTCTGCAGCCAGCCCCAAATGTCCCTCCTGCCCCCAGATGTCCCCTCCTGCCCCAGATGTCCCTCCTGCCCCCAGATGTCCCTCCTGCCCTACAGCTCCTGGCAGGGGTCTGCTTCCCACCCCTGGCCCTCCACTTGGTATACCAGTTTCCTGTGGCTGCATAACCACAAATTTAGATGGCTACAACTTAGCGAACTGAAGGCACCCATGTGTCCACCTGCTAAATCCCAGGCCCCAGTGCCAAGCCCCCTACCAGTCCCCTGGCCAGCACGGCCCCGGGCCCCACGGATGTTTGTGGATGTGATGCTGGCTTCCCAACCAGACAGGGCGACCCGAGGGGCAGCACACTGAAACACTGCCCCTCCCCCACCCCCAGTGTCTGCACAAAGTCCCCCAGTCCTCTGATCATGTTGGCTGCAGGAGTGAGCCATGCGGTTGGCTGCTTGGAGCTCTGTAAGGAGGGGACATCCGTGTGTGATTGCCAGCCCGGCCACCTCCCCAAGACACACGGCTGCCTCCACAAATGTCTGGACTCGCCGGCCCTGCCAGCATCCAGGACGGAACTTCACACCCTGGACATGGAGGAAGGCTCAGAGACACCCAGCCAGCCAGCGCTGGCGGCTCAATTTCCCCATCTACAGCGGGCTGAAAAATGGCCCCCAAAGCTGTCCACATTCTCATCCCCGGGGTCTGTGTGACCTGAATGCAAAGGTGAATTAAGGGTCTTGAGATGGGGAGATGATCCGGGGTTTCACAGGTGGCCCTGACTGCCATGACCAGCTCCCTTCGAAGAGGGGGTTAGACACACGGAGGAGGACATGGAAGGGCAGCAGAGAGACGTGAAGACGCAGGCCTGCAAGGCTGCAGGGATGCAGCCACAAGCCAAAGGACCAGGGTCAGACTTCCGCCTACAGCACAGTGAGAGGGTACGTTTTGTGGTGATTTGTTACGGCAGCCCCAAGATTCTCACACGGCCACTTTCCACTCCAGCTCCCCTCCTGGTGGGTGGCCCTGGGGTATCTGTGGAAATCTGGTAATCCAGATTTAGGTTCATGGGACAGGCTCACAACATGCATGACCCCCTCCACCCATAGCTAGGCTATTGCTGGCCACTGGTAGGACATGGGCTTCCAGGGTAGCGGGAAGGGGCAGGGTGGGAGGGCCCCTCAGGACCAGGGCCCTGGTGGCCCCAACCGGGGAGTGTGTGGGCTAAGCTCTCCTTCTGTTCTATTCTCTCTCTGCAAAATGCTGCCAACGCACTGTCATTGGAGGAGAACAGGAAAGCTTGTGGCCAGAGACAGTGGGGAGCAGCTATGTGGAGTGTCAAGAATCTCTCTCTCGCGCGTGTGTGTGTGTGTGTGTGTGTGTGTGTGTGTGTGTGTGTGTGTGTCGGGGGCATCTTGTGTGCGGGGTTCCTGTACATGTGTATGTATTAACTTTGCTTATTTTCTCTTGCTAAACTGCCTCATGTCTATTGGATTATTAGACCAGCCAAAAGAACCTTAGGGTAGAAGAAAGTTTGTTCCTCCCCACGGCTGGCGCTGTGAGCAGGATAAACGCACTGGCTGGGAGCCCACTTCCCCTTGAGGCTGCTGCAGACAAGGCGATCCTGGGGCGCCTGACACTGGGGGCCTACGATCTGGATTCTTCCATGTCAGCACCCTCCACACACACACCCTACCTCTGTCTGCCGGATCCAGTGGGAGCAAAACAGTGAGATTCTGTCTCTGTCTTCTAAATTTAGACGGCAGAAGAAAATATGTTTAAAACTAGTTTTGCAGGCAGGACACTCGGCTATTTCACAGGAGGGCCCCTGAGCTACCTTAATTCTGCTTTTCACTATCTGATGTCTTACCTTTCATCTTGTTATATGCCCTGAGAGCTTGGCCTTCGTGACCCCTGGGAATATTTTCTCTGGTATCTCCACCTGGAAGATGCACTTACTGGGCCGCACCTGGTGGCCAGTCGAAGACACTGGGGTTCCCAGTGCGCTTCTGTCCTGCCGCGCCAGCTCCCGGGGGAGTGTGTCATGAGGGGTCCCGGCCTCAAGGGGCCTTTGTCGTCTCAACCTTTGTTACCGGCTACTGCTGGCAATGAAAATCTTTGCTTTCTCTATTTTCTCGCTTCCTTGGTTAAACCATAAAAGGTTTATTGGTTTGAATCACGATAAATCTATAAATCCTACCATCAAGGCCTGACAATGGACCCTTTTAAGTAGAAAAACTTCTAAGTTGAAAAGAAAGAGTTTTTTTCTTAGAGAGCTCTCCCATTGTTATAATGGCTTGTCACTAAATTCCCTTAATAAGATGTAGCACAGGAATTAGAACAAAAGTCAAAACCCACTCACCCTTTCCTGTGTGTCTTCAGAGCGTGTAAAAATGAGGACATCGGGGCCGGCCGAATGGCGCGGGGGTTAAGAACTGGCTTGGGACGCCAGAGGACCCCAGTTCGGATCCCACATATGAGGGCCAGTGACACTGCCCTCTACAGCTAAGATGCTGAACAACAGCTCAACCTGGAGCTGGGCTGCCGGGAG